TGGGGAGAGGGTGACCCAGACCCAGCTGGAGGGGCGAGCACCGGGGGTTTAACGAGGGTGGGCGGGAGCAAAGCTGTACAAGGTGACAGCAGCTCTGGAAGAGGATCCTTGTATCACCAGGTGTTCGCACAGCGCCTAGGTCTGGGGTTCACACACCACCAACCAACCAAAAAAAAAAAGTCTTAAATTCAAGTGCACGAATATTAACAGCACGTGTTTTTGCCTGAACAGAGACATTTTTACCTCATCACATGAGCACAGTCCCCCGCCAACAGTGCCGTGTGTGTTCGCAGCACTGCCCAGCACTTCACTCTCCACAGCTGGGCTTTATGGGGTGACGTGGTCACAGGGGACGGGCAGCGTCCCCTGGGGAGATGAAGGGATGTGACCGAGGCCCCGCAGCGAGTCAGTGCCGGGAGCAGGGTCTGACCCCTTCCCCTTGCCGGGCCTCCGATGCGCAGGCAAAGGGGGGAGCAGGGACCAAGGCACCTGCGCTCGGCCCAGCAGGGACTCAGGGAAAGAGAGATGGGCCCAGGGATCGGGCCATACGGTTGGACTCGATGATCTTAGAGGTCTTTTCCAACCTCAATGATTCTATGATTCTATGATCAGCGGGGCTGCAGATCCCGCTTTAAAGAGGCTCTGAGCCTCCAGGATGATGCTGAAACCCTGCAACGTAATTTTGTTTTCAGAGGCAAAGAGAAACGGGCAAAACTGTTTGTCGTTTATCATCCCCCTGCGCTGAGCACGGCGTGCTCTCACCCTCCCCTGGCTCTTCCCCTTCCCTGCCGATAAACTGTATCACAGGGTCCGGGTAGTTGCTGCTGACAACACCAAAACCCAGACTTCTACGCCTCAGCTCCCTGCACAGCTGAAATAACATCAGCCTCCCAGGGCCTTCCAGCCCCGCGGCTTTATTTCCAATGAGAACATGGAGCCGAGGCTCGCACGTCCAGCTCTGCCAAGGGCACCAGCAGCTCCTGCCCAGGCAGGAAAGGATTAACAGGGCTGCCAGGGATGCCGTACGCTTCAAACTTGAAAGTTTACCAGGCAGGAGGATGAGCGAGGACAATGCGGGCTATTGTCCTGCTTATCTGGAGGCGCAAAGGGTCAAGGGGACTTCCCAGGACACCCTGGGAAAGGGGACCTGGCCCTGCACCAGGGCCTCGCACTGCCCAAGGCAGCCCCGCACCTTCGGGACGCTCTCCTGGGGGCAATGCGGATTTTAACACTTCCCGGGCAGAGCCGCGGGCCCTGATCCCTGCCCAGGTCACCCCGCGGTGCCGGTCAGGTCACCGGAGCTTTCTCCGCTGCAGAAAGGACGTGACGGTGTTCCACGCAGAGGTGTCCTTATACCCACCGGTGCATCATGCAGAAACTGTGTGACACTGCAAGACGTGCTATAAACGGAGATCAGTGGCGTGCATCGTTTCACTCGGTAGATGCAGAAATCGGAGGCAGCGCCCGGTTCTCTAGCAGAAATCAGTGTTGCCTCTCTGGGCTGCAGCGTTTGGGAGGGAGACTGCTTTTCTTCAGTGTTTATCTCTTAGGGCAGCGCAATCGTGGCCCACCACTGGAATTGCCTGGCACTGCTCAAGTGCACATAATAAATAACAGCACTACTCCTTTTCAGTTGACAAAGCCCTTCAAAACCCTCCAGCTTCGTCTGACCTCTACGGAAAGATGCAGCTCTCTGTTTGATGGGCAATTTTCACTGGTCCTTTGGTTGACCACTAAAGATGGTTTCAGGGGAGAAACACTTCTGATAATGGATAATAAATAATATAAGGCAGGAAGGCAACTGTGGGGGTTTAAAAATAGCCAGCCAGTTTCCTCTCTCCTCTCCTGGGAACCTTCTGGATCTGAAAAGCAAAACACTCAAAGCAGGGTCAGGAGCCCAAGTTCAGGATGTTTGCTCAGCGTAGCTAACCCCAAACACTCAGCCATCAGGGGCCAGGCTCTTGAAAATTGTGAGATTCAAAACAAATAACTTTTCAGGGCTTCTTATCTGCCTCTAAGCATAGAGCCGAAAGGGAACACGCAGATCACACCCTCAGGTTTCTCCCCTACAACACTGAAGGTCTAGAAATTGTTGAAAAATGCAATTATTTCACATGCAGGTGACTCCAGGAACAGGGGATTTAAGAAAACAATCAATGATTGAGTGATTCATTAAAAAAATATCATCAATTTACACTTGGCAAACTCAGCAAAAGCTTTTCACAATACACTGAGCATTTTGCATTGACATCAGCTGTAAATGTCCCATCGACTTCAGCAGGCGCAGGAGCAGAGACGGGTGCGGGAACTGGGTGCTGCGGGAAATCCCTTACTTCGTTTCTTTCCGCCACTCTGCAATCAGCACTTGGCTGAATAAATACAAACCCATACGGCCAACACTGGAGCATCTACAGATCACAAATCTATGCTCCTCTGCCGCAGTCTCCAGCCCGCAGGCTTCCCTGCACAGTAAATAATGCGGAGCGGGTAACACAGAGAGGCTTTTTGCAAAGTTTTCTGGTTTAGCTCAATCCATTTGGGTCAGGACCTGCAGATTCAGACCTTTGTTTCTTAATAACCAGGCTCAGCGCGGACCCCGAGTTGTCTCTCCCTGACACGTACAAGCTCGTACACGTGGCCTTTGAGCATTCCCCTCAGCTCCATCCTCCAGCCCTCCCAGCGACGGCCCTCCTTCGCTTTCATCTCGCTGCTCCACTTCCGAGAAAGGCTTTCCAGCGTATTTCCTACAGGACAAAACTCGCAGTGACCCAGTTCCTGTGCTCTATATTGCTGGGGCTTTTTTCTTTCTTTTTTTTTTTTTTTCC